ACTTAACTGGAGATGCTATTTGTCTACCCGCACCAGTTACACTTATAATGGGCACAGTAATCGTTATAACGGCCTTTTTCAAAGAAGTCAATCTTTGGTCCCTATTATAGATTTTGTGGTTAGAGTGATGGTGGTAGCAACCCCCACCCTAACCTATGGTACCACTTCAATAATACCTTTAAAAAACTAACTCCTAAGGTATTTGAAAACTTGGATACAGTTTGTCTTTCCCACTTAATTATCAACCAAAAAAAAAAAACTGAAAAGTGCCATGAAGTTTCTGTATTATCCATTAATAACTCAATATTGTTTGACCGTATATACTTATTGCAATGTTTTAAAACCTGGATCGGCCATATGAAACAACAAAAATCTAGTTTGGAGTGGTGAATCAATGACCCGAATTGGCCAATTAAACTAGTTCCCTAGTGTGAGAATCGGTCTGAAGAAATAAAAAAATAGAATAATTGTAGAGAAAGATGGATGCCACAATGCCGAAACAACCCGCTTCTCAATTCGTGTAACAATGCTACACTAACCCAAAACTCATAACCAAAACTGAAAATGGAGTACACAAAGGCATTACAACCTTGACACGGAAGATTAACCTTAATACATGTGACCTAATTTTCTCACTACACACGTCTCTTTAAATAGAGTGTTTTTACAATGATATTTACTACAAAAACTACCACTTGCAACAATAACTACTAACCACTTAGTAGTTTCATAACTTCCTACTACACAAACTTACAATTACAACCTTACTACATCACTCATACTAAAATAACATAAAAACTAATATGGTTTCTAAAAAATACACTTTAATCATTTTAACACTCACTCTTAAAGTGATTTTTTAGAAAGGATACCATGCATACACGATCATCTCCATCATTTTCCAAAATTAAAAATCTGGTCATTTAGCAGGCGACCAAAGAGATTCTCAAATTCTACCAACAAGGGTTATATAGCCTACCCTTGGATAGAGGTAACATTGGGAATATACTCATTTAACGTACGAATGATGCACCGCTTCATTCATGCCATTGAGATAGGTTCTTTCGAATCAACGAGAGATCTCCAAACAATTATTATTGATTTTTAAGAAGAATTGGGAAATAGAATAACTGTATTACTGATCTTTAAGAAGAATTGGGAAATAGATCGACTGTCTTGAGTTGAGTTCCGAACTCAACAGTAAAACTATTTGACCTTGTACCCAATCCATCTTCAAAATGATAATTGATCTTCTTCACCAAGGGAGTCAATACAATATCACCACAATTCTTGTGACTCTGATACCATGTAGAAAAAGACCGCTGAGACAATACCAGAACAATCTGCTTCTCAATTGGTATATCAATGTCATACTTGCCAAAGACTCACAACCAAATAGAAAGAATAAGAAGAGTCAAGATGAGGTAGAAAAAAAAAAACTAAGAGTGTTAAAATTATTAAATTGTATTTTGTAGGAATCATATTAGTTTTGATATTATTTTAGTATGAGTGATGTAGTAAGGTTGTACTTGTAAGTTTTTGTAGTAGGAAGTTATGAAAGAACTTGATGGTTAGTAGTTGTTTTTTCAAATGAGTAGTTTTTGTAGTAAATATGGTTGTAAAAAACCTCTATTTAAAGAGATGTGTGTGGTGTGAAAATTGAGTCACATGTATTAAGGTTATCTTGGGTGTCAAGATTATAAAAGCCTTTGTGTATATCATTTTTTATCTTTGAATGAAAAATTAGTTTTTTCTTCTATGTCATCTTGATTCTTCTTCTTCTTTCTTTTTTGTTGTGAGTCTTGGGCTAATGCGATATTGTTATTCTAATTGAAAAACGCATTGCTTCGGTATCATGGCATCTGTCTTTCTCTATAATTTCTATTTATATAGAGCTTTCTAATAATGCTGTTGATTTGCTGATTGGTAGTATGAGTGGAGTATTTACTGGAAGAATGATCAAAGGAGCAGTGGTGTGGGAGTAGTGGAAGGCAAGAAATAGGAGTATTTTAAAATAAGGTGCTTCCGGTTGAGATGGCAGAACGGGCGGCCAGATGCAAGGTGCTATGGGGGTGGTATTATGAATCAAATGGATGAAGTTGTGAGGGTAAGTAGCACAAAGATAAAGAGGGTGGGTACATGGGTTGCGCTGAATGAAGGGGTATTGAAGTTGAGATTCGATGGGAGTTCATTGAGAATTATGGGGCAGGAGGTATAGGAGGGGTTATAAGGGATAGTAAAGGTGTGGTGCTAAAGAACTATTATGGTCTAGTGGACGACGTTATAACTAATGTGACCAAGTTCTCTTATTTGCTACAAGGTTTGAAGTTAATATAGGATATGGGAGAGAGATTTGTTGTTGAAGGGGATTTCTTAAATGTGATTAGCTGGTGTATTGACATGTTCTTGTCCACTGGAGATTGGTGACTGTTTTGAAGGATATAAAGTAATACAGTGGAACATGAACTCAGTGGGACTGTGGTCCTCCGTGGAACATACTAAGCAAACAATGGTTTGCTGATAACGATATGTGTTTAACGATCTAGGCTAGTCGGTTGGGAAAAACCCATGTTACTTGGGCATGAAAAATAAACCAATGAGGGTTTATGAGTTAGCCCTTGATGAGGTCGAAAATAATGCCCGGATGAGTGAGCCGAGGGACTGTGTGATCCTTGTGTGTGATAGTGGCCTACAGAGACAGGGCCCAAAACCTCATCTATGTATCATCACATAGCATGCATATCGATAGATCGTTCGAGAAAGCTAGAAATCCACCTTTTAGAGTGAAGCGTATGTATGTGTGAGAGATACCCCTGTCCACCATAGAGCTGTGGTCGTATAAGGTCTTGGTGACATTGACTTGTTTCTAGAGGAGGACCTGAAATCCACATATTGGAATTGCGATCCATTGACTCATCGTCGGACTTTGGTGACCCGTTAATGAGCCCCTGCCCTGCTTGGACTGTGAGTCATGGAAAACACTGGGTAGG